ACTGCGCCACCACAGCTCTGCGCCCAATACGGGCAGTCCTCACTTTATGACCTGTCATTTAAAACTAACACCCTATCTGAAAAAGGAGACATACGACCCAGATCCATAGTTCCGGCAATCACACACACACACACACACACACCCGCTTTGCAATCATATGATGCACCTCGTGGGCACTCATAAAATATTTCTATGGTCTTTTTAGAGTTGCCATCAGAAAGGGAGGGGGGAGCAGTGCAGCCGCTTGCAAACCGAAACTGCATTCCATAAATGTTTTCAAAGATAGTAACGAGGTGACCAAAGTTTTTGCTGTGCAAAATTCTAACTGGAGAGCATGATTGATGACTCTGGGCTATGGAGGTGTCCCATTGGAGAATATGAATTATGATACTCCCAGGGGGTGGGGGGAAAACCAGGCTCAAGGGTGACAATAAATTAAATGTCTCAGAGTCGGCTACACCCAGGCAGTGCCGGCATGTTAACTCCTAATAAATCCTTTTTAAGTTCTGGAAGTTTGTGTAATGATTTAAATGGGGGTAATTGCCGGAATCCTGACAGCAATGGGACACATCCCTCATCAAGAGTCATCAATCATGCTCTCCAGTTAGAATTTTGCGTTGGCAGAAACTTCAGTCACCTCGTTACTATCTTTGAAAACATTTATGGAATGCAGTTTTGGTTTCCAAGCTGCCGTTGGCAACTCTAAAAAGAACATCGAAATATTTTATGAGTTGACTCAGCGCACAGAGAACTGTGCTGGCTACATCAACGTTTATTTCTCAAAAGCCGCTATCTCTTTTTACACCTTCCTTTAGTTCACGGATAATGGACAGATTGTCTTCCCCGCCTCTGACCAAGACATTTCCAGCTATCCCAACCCACCTTCCGGTGGTTTTAATGGTCGTGAGAAAGTACCCATGGTGGCTGTGTTTTGGGACAATGCGGACTTCTCCAAGGGAGCTGGCACCATCTTTTACCAGGTGAGCCATCGATAGTTTGATGCTAGGGACCTCTACGAAGCAAAACCAGTCAAGTTGATTCGCGAGGTCTGTGTTTCTCAACGTTGGCACCGTTAAGAGGTGTGGACTTCAACTCCCAGAATTCCCCAGCCAGGGAATGGAGTTTGCCGAGGAGGAGGAGGAAGAGGAAAAAGGGGAGGGGGAAGAGGAAGGGGGGCATTTTTGCTCAGGAAGAAAAAAAAACGGAGCATATTTGGGGACGCAACCTCCCCGCTTCATTTTGGGGGCCTCCCCGGGGCCCAGGAAGGCTCTTGGGCATAGCAGTAAGTAAACGAGGGGAATCCTGGCACAGCTGATCGGGTGGGGCAAGCGAGCGAACGGTGACCAGGTGACCGGGTCGGGACCGTGGCCAGCCAGAACTTACTACTGGTTCGGCGACCCACACTAAATCCTTGCTACCGGGTTGTAGAAACCGGTGCGAACCGGCTGAATAGCCACTGACATAGTCCACTAATTAAATGTCTGCAGGAAAACAACCCAGCTCAGACAGCACCAAGGACCCCTCAGTCCTTCTCCTCCTCCTCCTCTTCTTCACAAACCCCTCCCTTCTAGCCCTGATGATGTCACCTGGTCAGGTAATGAACCATCTACAACAGGGGTCTCAAACTCAATTTACCTGGGGGCTTCTGGAGGCAGAGGCTGGGTGAGGCTGGGCCGCATAAGGGATTCCACAAAAAACGTTTTTTAAAAAAACATCCTCAAATGTCATTTTCTGTGCTCATCACCTATCTTTCTCTTCACTGCAGGCTTTGACAAAGACATGATGAGGGTGTGACAAAATTTAGTTTATTCCATTTGGCGTCGCTCTTGTTCCACGTTTCATAGAAGTGTTTAGCCAGCTAGCGATGCATGGAGAACGTCCCGACGCATGACGTCATTTCCGCTTCTACTTGCCACAACAGCGCGGCAGATGACGAACAGCCCGGTAGCAGTCGCCTTTCTCTGCGTTTGATCGTGGCATTTGTTGATGGTAGAAAGTACTGGAATGGCGACCGCAAAAAAAAGGCGACTGCTACCGGACTGTTCGTCATCTGCCACACTGTTGTTACAAGCGTAGTGTGTGCATGAAGTCGGTGTAGCTTAGCCTAGCACTGAATGTCAGCCATGACGAGGAACGGCAGGTGGGACTTCCTTCAGAGGTCCATTCCCCCTGCGGGCCGCACTAATATTATACTTTCGTATCACGGTGGGGGCCACAGGATATCGTCCTGCGGGCCGCAATTGGCCTGCGGGCCGCGAGAATGAGACCTCTGATCTACAAGAAATCAACCCAGCTCAGACAGCACCAGGGACCCTACATTTCAGAAGACCTCCGACATCTTCTCCACTGTTACTCTACATGTTCCTTTGGTTTCCCCACTGACCACATGTTGTCCCTTCATGCACAGGAATATACTTGTGGGAATTCTGCCAAAGACCCCCTCGTCCAAGACGTGGAAGAAAAGATTCGCCGGTACGTCAAGTCTTCCTATCGAGCTCGGTGGTTACTCAAAGTCACCTGGGACAAAGTCCAACCTTACCCGGCGCAGAGGCAGAAGAGCAAGGTGAGTGGATTTTAACAAGCATTGGGCGATATTTTTCCTTTCGTGAAGTTAGCTGGACCTGCTGTGATTCAGGATAACAGAATAACAAAAGAGTTGGAGGTCTTCTAGTCTTGCTCGAGGCAGGAGATCATCCCTGTATCAACTAACATAATAATAATACTCCTTTGGTCTTTTTAGGTGCCAGCAGAAAGGGAGTGGGGGAAAGCAGTGCATTCCTTAAATGCCTTAGATAATCGTCTTGGCAGCCCAAAGTTGTTGGCGTGCAGGAATATTACTGGAGAGCATGTTTGAGGACTCTTGGCTATGGATGTGTCCCATTGGAGAATATACATCCAGGGGGTGGGGAGGAAGACCACGGTCAAAGGGGAAATGAATGATGTATTTGTGTCGAATGTACCCAGGTAGCTCCGAAATGGTCACTCCTAATAAATCAATTTTTTTTTTTACTCTTGAGAGATGCGGCTAGAGACTTACGATTTGAATGGGGGTAGAGTGCCAAGTGCTGGTCCAATCTTTTCTTAAAAATCTCCAGGGATGGAGCACCCACAACTTCTGGTGGCAAGCTGTTCTACCGGTTAATTGTTCTCACCGGCCCTTCATTCAGCCAGATCAGTCAGGGCTAGGGGTGATGGTGGAAGGCAGGCAGCAATGGCTGGCTGGCTGGCTGGCCTGGCTAGTTGGCTGGCTGGCTGGTTGGCTGGCTGGCTGGCTTGCTGCTGCTGCAGGAAGCAATGGTGGCAGGTGGGAAAATGCGGGCAGCGATGTCGCGTACACGCGCTATAAGGAGTGACTGGTCAGGGAGTGGAGAAACGGATGGAGAGGGGCAGGGCCAGCCAGGGCCCTGATTACCTGTTCTCCGAACTACGGAGAATCATAACAACCGGGTCTACCAAACCGGTGTGAACCGGTAGAATCCCATCCCTGCTGTTAGGATGGTTCTCCTTAATTCCAGGTTGCTTAGTTTCCACCCGTCACTTCTTAATCCTGCCTTGTGGTGGTTTGGAAAATAAGTTGACCCCCTTCCTCTTCTTTATGGGAAGTCCCTCAAATATTGGAAGACTTCTATCGTCTCACCCCTGGTCTTTTTTTTCGTTAATTTAGACGAACACCTATCAAGCCATTCTCACCACAGACGGTTACCGAACCTACGCGCTGTTCCTTTACCAAGATGGAGGGATGCAATGGGACTACACTGAACTCTCATCCCCCAATGTGCTGATTGGGTACACCAGGTAATGCTAATAATCTCCGGCAGCTCTGCACATGCGCACACAGGGAACAGGCTCCAGCTGTTCTTCTGCCCCACTGATACCCAACTCCAAAGGCAGCTGATAACTGTTGGATGGCCCTGGCCCAGGGGTGGGATTCCAGTTCGCTGCCCGGTTGCTAGATGGGTGTGGCCGTGGTGAGCCAGAACTTCCTGTGTCCAGCTCCTGGTGGGCTTCCAGAGCCCAGAAGAGGCTGTTTTCACTCTCTCAAGGGTCTGGAGATTTCCCCTGGCTCTCTGGGAGGGTGAAAATGGCCTCCTCTAAGCTCTGTCAGATTTTGCCTTCTCGTGTCTATGTAATGATTCCGGGCCGATCCCTTCCTTGATTCAGACATCAAGCCGTGTAAATTTCTGGAAGATGGTCTGCCTCCAGTAGGGTGTGTGCGTGATCTATTCTTGGAAAAATAAGAATCGATGTCTTTTCTTCCTCCCTCTATCCAGCGGCGATGGCTATTTCAAAAACGATAATCTGATGACTCGAACGCCAGCTGAGAAATACCGTCCCGATCGCTTCCAAGGTTACAACACAGGTAGGGGCCAAGGCCTGGGCTTGGTGAAATGGACTGGCCGAAATCTTGTGGGCTGTGCTGTCCAGCCAGCACAAGGGAAGTGGGCTCATTTACTTAGGAATATGGGAGCTGTCCCCTTAAGGGAATGCCTCCTGGTAAAGGTGGTTAATGCATCCTGGGAAATGTAGTTCATGTTGTGCGGTCACATCTGTAATCCCGATTGGTCCCTGAATTGACCCTTGGTTGGGTTGGGGGAATTTCCTTCACTCTTCCCTGGACCCAAGCAACGTCTCACCCCATTGCTCCTTCGTTACGGGATGAAAGATCGCTATTCTTTTACACCGTGAAATCAGCTCTGCGAAGAATTGCACATCAGATGGATCTCAACATAACCGTGAATTATATTTGAGGATGCCTGGCGACCCAATAAGGAAATAAAGATCATCTTTGTGTGGAAGCCTCTGTAGAGGTTGTCTGTCTGTCTTTCTATTCAGCCAGCAGTCTAAAGACAGAACGTGGACATGACATGTCTCGTTTTCCCCCATGGCTAGCAGGAGAGAAATCTAGAAGGCAGAACACTCGTCTAATTGTTCTCCTTGGTTGGAAGTTTCTCCTTCATCCCAAGTTGCTTCTCCAAGCTGGGAGAGACAGAACCAAAACTTAACCCGAGATAAATCTGATAAATCAGAATCAGAATAGAACGGGAAGGGACCCTGGAGGTTGTTAGGGATACACCCTAGCAGGATCTGCAGGGCAGGCAGGCAGGCAGGCAGAATATGTGAGATAAACATTTTTGTAGCTTACACTCAGTAAAACAGATACACAGTGCTAATTAAATAGTTTTATTCCAGCAAGAGTTAAAGCATAGTCAAAACAGTCCATATATCATTCAATTAGTTCAGTCCGTCCAGGGATTATTCAGTTGCAAATTCCAGTGTCGAAAAAGAGAGGTCAGTACACTTACAAATATCAGTCCGGTGATATATCTCCTTGCAGTAGAGATATGCAGAACTCAAAAAACTCCTCTCTTCCTTCAGCAACTCTTCAGTAGGGGAAAGACGCAGCTAACAAACCATGCAATCCAGTAAATTGTCAGTAATTGCCAGCAAATCGTCAGGGAATCGTCAGCAATCAATCAGGTTGTCTTGCTCCCTCTTATGGTGGTTTCACACCACACCCAAATTACATGCTTTGCAGTTTTAAAGTGACACACACTTAAACTTAGAATGATAGTTTATATATATTATTTTACCCAAACTACGTTAGGTGACCTATGTTATACCTAATAGAGGTCTTCTAGTCCAACCCCCTGCTCCAGCAGAAGATCCTAGACCGTTTCAGACAAAAGGGTTATCCAGTCTCTTCTTAAAAACCTCCACTGATGGAGCAGCCACAACCTCTAGTGGCAAGCAGTTCCACTGGTTCATTGTCCTTAGGAAATTCCTCCTTAATTCCAGGTTGTTTGTCTCTGTTGATGCGTTTCCATCCGTTGCTTCTTGTCCTGCCTTCTAGTATTTTGGAGAATAATTTGAGACACCCCCTCTTCTTTGGGGCAGCCCCTCAAATACTGGAATATTGTTATCATGTCCCGCCCCACCCCGTCCTTCTTTTCTCTAGACAGATCCTGCCACCGTTCTTGATATATTTTGGCCTTTAATCATCTTAGTTGCTTTTCTTTGCACTTTTCCCAAACTTGCAACACCTTTTTTGTAATGTGTCGATGACCAAAACTGGGTGACGTATCCCAGTTGCCTCTTACTAAGGCTTTATAAAGCGGTGTTAATGTCTCCCGTGGCACTGAACGGAGATTTAACAGATGGACAGAGTTGGAAGGGACCTTGCAGGTCATCTAGTCCAACCCTCCGCCCGAGGCGGAGACGCTGCACTGTTTCCGACCGATGCCAGTCCAGTCTCTTCCTGAAAGCTTCCAGTGATGAAGCTCCCACAGCTATTGAAGGCCGGTCCTTCCGCTGATTAGAAGAACAGATTAACAGAGTTGGAGGGACCTTGGAGGTCATCTAGTCCAACCCTCCGCCCGAGGCGGAGACGCTACACTGTTTCCGACCGATGCCAGTCCAGTCTCTTCTTGAAAGCTTCCAGTGATGAAGCTCCCACAACTATTGAAGGCCGGTCCTTCCGCTGATTAGAAGAACAGATTAACAGAGTTGGAGGGACCATGGAGGTCATCTAGTCCAGCCCCCACCCCCATCCAATCAGGAGACTCTACACCATTCCAGACCAACGGTTATCCGATCTCTTCTTAAAAACTTCCAGCGTTGGAGCAGCCACAACTTCTGGTGGCAAGTTGTTCCACTGGTTAATTGTCCTTACCTTAGGAAGTTTCTCTTCCGTTCCAGGTTGCTTGATGAGTTTCCACCTGTTTTTTTTTTTCTTGTCCTACCTTCAGGGGCTTTGGGAATTAAGTTGATCCCTCTGCCCTTCCAATCTTTGGGGCAGACCCTCAAATACTGGAAGACCGCTCTCATGCAAGCTCATTGTTGCTTTCCCTCTGCGTTTCCTTCCAGATGTGCGCGGTTTGTGGATATACAAACTGGATAGTTGGATCCGTGTGAATTACCGGCAGAGGTGCCTGGATTGGTTGAGTCACGAGACGCTCCCATCGGCCTGGAATAGGAACCTGCCCCCTTGCCCATGTTTTCTGAAACAGGCGATGTCGGACAACCGCTACACAACCAGCCAAAAAGGTGAGGGGGGGGTTGTGTGTGTGTGCGTTCATGGGAGGGTCTCCAGGGCCTCTGAGACCGCTGGATCTAGAGAGAGAATGCTAAAAGTTCCCACAGCTGGATTTAAGCTGGTTAACCTTTTCTGGATTCTGGAGGAATCAAAGCCACCGTTTCCATTTAGTCAGTGACAGGTCGTCCTTGACTTATGGATGGTTAAGGAGAGTGGCCGTTTGAAATGACAACGGACCTCCCTGGGGCCTCTTAGGATCATGGGGCGCTTGGTGCTCTCTGAGCTGGGTGGTTTTCTTGCAGACGTTTTATGACCTAACTAGGTAACATTGTCAGTGGTGGAAGGGAGGGGATTTGTGG